AACCCAAAAGCGAAGCAAAATCCATGGGTTTTGCATAAGAGCTTCTGGATTCATCTTGCTCCTGGCTGGAGGGAGCAAAGCCATAGGATCTGCCTGCAAAGAAACCACGTGTAGAAGTAATCGTGGAGAGGTGAAGCAGTATTATAAGTTTGCTTCTTGTCAATATGGGGTTTGCTAGGCATAAAAATACCTTTTCTTGCCTTGCTGTTTTAGACCTTTAATAGAAACCTAAAATAAATGAGACCGTTCAACAGAGAGAGGGAAATCAAATGAAGCAATGTTCTGATTTCTGATGAAAGCAGTACCTTCCTTTTCTAATGGTGCGGGGGTTCTTGATTCTGTGACCACAATAACTTGGCAGTATTGTTAAAAATGTGGTCAAAAATGAGGATGAAATAGGAAACACACCTGGACTGTTTGCATCTCTGAAGGTCCTAATTTAATAAAAACATCTGAATAAAATGCAACCCCCCTCCTTTTTCTTTTTTTTTCCTTTTCTTTTTAGCATAATGGTCATTATTAACAGCAAGCCATCTAAGGGTCAAACCCCTGAAAATAATTGAATTCCAGAACAATTATTTCTATTAAGTGTCATTGGTGGGGTTTTTTTTTAGATAGTGATAAAAACACTGCCTTAATTTGCTGCAGTCATTCACACTTTCCAACAGCAGCCACAGAAGGGGAGTTTTCCCCCTGTGAGGGTGGATTTGCTAATTGATTAATGGCCCAGGGAACAAAGAAGGAGAGAAAGTAATCATGTTTCCCCAGGCCCCGTGACAGCAGCCCTCCTCCCTTACCCTTAACAATAAAAAAAAGATAGCCCAGCATACTCGCACTGCTGCAAGGACTGAGGCTGATGTCTGGAATAAGGGGAAAATGCTGAAATCCCACCAGTTTCAGAAATAAAACATCCTGCTGTGACTTGTGTCCTGCAAATAGTCTGGATGCACTGATGGATATGGACCCTTGGGTGGAGAAGGTGGGAAAGTGCCCTGTCCAAAAAGGTGTTTAGGTGTCCTCAGGCCAAGGGAGGTAGGAGAGAAGCAGGGAGAGAAGAGGTGCTTGAAAAAAAGGGGGCTGGAAAGCCTGTTTTACTGTGCTTGGGATTTGTTGTGTTGGGATTTATACCTCTTAAAAAAGAGAGGTATGGTTTCTGTTCCCATCCCAGGGAAACCCAACTGATGGAGGAAAGCTCTCTAGCAACAAGGCTTACAAATTAGCTGTGAATGACTTTGGGCTGGTAATTAGTAGGAGGGACCTAATTTCTAAGAGTGGTTCTACAAAACCGGATCCGGGTGGTGCCGTGCGTCGTCCATGTGGATATCCAAGCCCTGAGTGCGCAGCGCTGTCCGGCCCTGGCCACCGATGCTCCTCCTGAATCAGGAGTGGAGACTTGCAGAGTAACTCAGGCTGGAGGTACCCTGGGGTGGGGGTCACCAGCCAGACCCCACTTCCAGCAGGACCAATGCCACAGCTGCAACAGGCTGCTGAGGGCCGTGGTCCAGGCAAGTCGGGGCATCGCACTTTGGGACATGTTTTAGTCTAGTCTACCCTTAATTGGTTTAGTGTGGACTTGGTAATGTTAGGTTAATGGTTGGACTGGATGACCTTAAAGGTCTTTTCCAACCTAAACGATTCTATGATTCTATCCCCGGAGATGGGGATTCTCCACTGCTCACATGGGGAAGGGCTGTTTCCTTGGGGCCAGCCAGGTTTTCTTTGAAGGCAGCATCATGTGGAAGCACTGGGCACAGATTAAGGCCAGATCATTGTTAACACACACCCTGAGAGCACGGTGAACGATTTTTCTGGCACTTTCAAAAAATGCGTGGAATTCTCCAACACCGGATGTCGCAGTGGCTGTGATTAATACCTTGTGCAACCTTGAACGCTCTTGGTCCCTTATTCCTAGCAGATTGCTTGAGCATATCCTGGAGTACACCAATGTCTAGACATGCTGGTCTAGAGCCTAAAAAATTTGCAGGATGCCTTACGAGAAGAGCCCAGAAGAGCTCGCCTGGTCTTATTAGATAAGGGACAAGCCAAAGAGGGATACTGCTCCTGCTGTAAATGCATCCGCCGGGGAGATGCTCTATTCCTGTCCACCCCCCAGCCCCATGGCTTGTGCTCGCAGCTTAGCATGAAACCATCACCTGGAGTGAGATGTTACTGGAAATGACTCCTCCCCGGAGGAGAGGTACAGAGACATATGGCATTTAAGGCTCCGCATGCAAATGCATTCAAAGTAGCAGCCTCTGAGACACCCAGCCCGTAGGGAAGTGCAGCATGAAATAGTGCAATTTGCAGGGGGGGGCGGGGGGAGAAAAAAAAAAAAAGGCTCTTAAACTACTCATCTATCTAGGTCGCGGCTGGGGACAGACTGGAAACCTCAGCCGCTATGGAAAGCCGCCGAGGTTTGCCTGGCTGCAGTCCAGCCGCGTTCCCGGCC